TCTACAGATAGGGAACTTTCGGCTCACTTTGCCTTCGGCTGCTCCGGCCCCTCTTCTGTGAACCGGGCTTTCTTTCGTTCTTCTTTGGCTGAGGTCGCGCCCAGGTGTGCCGAGGTTGCCCGCGCTGATGCTACGGCCCTTCAGGTTACGGCCACCGTGTTGGACAGCCTCCTTGGCCTTCCGTACCACCGTGTTTCTCGAGGCCCCGTGGCTTCGCCTTTTGCAGGAACTCCGCCCAGAGCTCGCGCTGACCTGGTCGCCCGCTGCTGGGATCGTTTAGGCCTAAGGCTGAACCAGTGGAACTCCTTTGGAACCTGTCACCCGTGACGATCTCGGCCGTTCGGCTGGGAAAGTGGAAAAGATCGAAGAGCAGATCCGTGTACTCCAGCAGGACAGCGTTGGAGGCACTTCGGCTCTGCCCAGCCTGGCCCTCGCTCAAGACGTGGTCGCCTCGAGGATCGCTTTCACAGGCGTGCCGGAGTTCGACCCCTGTCCTTACCTGGACGACAAGCTCCGCGACCTCTACCTGAGGCCCAAGGACTTTGCGTGCAGCTTTTCCGACCTCCTCGTGTACCCCCCTAGAGTTCGGTTTAGGGCCCCCGGGTATAAAGGTAAGTTAGATCTGCTGGCTCTGTTGGATTCGGGCGACCGACTCGCTCTTAGGCCCGTGTCACACGCTTGTGCCTCCTGGTGTTGCGGAGTCTTTTCAGTGCCGAAAAGCTCGGATCGGGACCGCCTTATCATTGACGTGCGGCCGAGTAACGCCGTGCAGGTCAGTGACAGTCGATGGTTGAGCACCATGCCGACCTCGGCCTGCCTTCTCGGCCTGGAGCTGGACGAGACCGAAGTTTGCACTTTTTCTGGTGCTGATATTCGAGAGTTTTATCATAACTTCAGGGTGTCAGAGCAGAGGTCTTCGTTGTACACCTTTGTGGGCGATTTCGCCGCTTCAGACTTGGCGTGCTTGCGGTGCTTTTCCCCAGAACTCCTCGGGAGCTCCCGGGTCGCATCTCTACGGACCATGGCGATGGGAGATGTTACCAGCGTCTCCTTCGGGCAAGCTAGTCATGTCGGTCTCCTGTTGGCGTTTGACGTCATCGACCCTTCCTGCCTTTTGACGTTACGAGGCAGCTTCCCACGAGGAGACCTGGCACTGGGAGTGGTGATTGATGACCTCATTTGCATCGAGCGCTCCCTTCGTCACATTGGGCCTGCCAAAGCTTCTCCCGTTATGGAGAAAGTCCACCGAGCTTATGCAGCGGCTCCCTTGCCGGTGCATCA